GGCCGCCCCGCGAGCGAGGCCTCGGGACCTCGGAGGGGCGCAGGGCAGGCCGACGGGCGCACCCCGAGTGCAGGGCCCAGGGCTCAGAGGGCGCCGACCTGACCCCTTCGCGGTGGGCGCCCAGGAGGAGACTCTGGGCCCCGCGAGCGCCGGCCAGGGAGGAAGGCCGCGGGGGCGCGGCTCGGGGCGCGGAGGGCGGGGAGCGCGGGACGCGCACATCTGGCCGAGCTTTGAGCGGCTGCCTGCAGGCTCCACTTTGGGACGCTGAGAGATGCCGTTTTGTGGAGACAGGTCTCCCCATCGCCCCAGGACGCCCTTCCCTCCGAGGTCAAGGTTATGGTTTCTGCTTTCTGGAAAGGCGCGGGTAGCCGGGAGTGGACCTGGGTCCGCCCATCCATCCGCTCGGAGGAGAGCCGCGGCCTGCCCTGCCCGCTGCCTGACGGTTGGGCTGGCTGGTCCCAGCATCTGGGGATCCCTGAGCAGACCTTGGCAGGTTGTCCAGACCTGGACGCTGCAGAGGGCTGTACCTGCAGCTGCGGCCCAGCCCGAGGCAGCTTTCTCTCTCTGTCCACGCAGAGGGAGGTGACCAAGCCTCACCTGTTTGCAAGCCTATTTTTCCACAAAAGATAGGAAGCAATAAGAGGAGACCCAGGATTCCCGAAATCTCTCCAGGGAGCAAGTGCTCGTTTGTCTCAACAAGCTTCTCCCTCCAGCATGGGGCACATATGCTCGTGCAGGGGGTCACCGCCTGGATGGCAGCAGTAAGAGCCACCATGTGCTCAGTGCCCGCACAGGCGTGGAGGGGGAGGTGGGAAGGGGCCTGCGTGGAGTCTGGAGAAAGCGCAAAGGACCTTGGCAGAACCACCACCAGGCCTGAGCCGCTGTCCAGGGAGCTGCCAGAGTATCTAGGCAAACCTGTAATGGCTATGTCGCTGGACTCCCACATAGTCGACCGCGGTTTGAGTCTCGGACCCGGCGGCTTAAACTCATGCCGGTCGCGTGTGCGTGCGTGCCCAAGATCCCGAGAGGAGAATGGAGGAGAAAGAATTGCGGCATGGCCATCCCCTCTGGGGGGTGCTTTCTTGCTTTCTGCCTCTCTGTCCTTCTCTGTCCAGCTAGCGCACGCGCCCTATAGCAAAAACCTTCCCCCCCCAAAAAAAAAAAAAACAAAAAACCTGTGTGCCAGGGATCAGGCCCAGGTCACAGCTCTGGGGACAGGTGGTCTCCAGAGCAAGCAGTTCCTCTGGTAGCGGGACCCAGCTCTCTGCCTGTGAGCACTCATCTCGTGGCACTGTTGGCGCTGATGCCACTGTGGATGGCGTCCCTGCGCCCCGCATTGGCTGAGCATTCATTATCTCCTGTGGCAACCTCAGGGCGCCAGCTCCCTCTCCTTCCTACAGGTGAGGAGGCAGTGAGCAGGGACAGTACCGCTGGCCTTCTCCAGCCCCAGACCCTCAGTCAGCGGCCCTGCACAGGGCTGCACCAACTCTGCAAGTTCTACATGGAAGATTTCATTTACAAAACGCAAAGAATTCGGCCAGCAGTGATGTGGTGGTTAAGGCACTGGGCTCCCCTAGAGCTGACATGGTTCTGCCTCCGTGGTCTGACCTTCCTGGACTCTTTTATCCTCCCACAACTATTTATTTAATTGCATTTATTATTATTATTCAATTTGACCAGAGAGAGAGGGAGACTGAGAAAGCAAGCTGCCAGGTCTGGGACTTTAACTGCAATCAGCAATGTGGGAGTCTAGCACCTTAACTACCCAGCCACCTGCCAGCCCCCATCTCTCTCTCTCTCTCTCTCTCTTTTTAAGAGAGAGACAGAGAGATTTTTTGCTAGAGAGAGACAGAGAAAGTGAGAAATCACCCCCCAGGAGAGATGACCATGCCACAATCCCTTCTCCTTCATCCTCCTCTTGGAATCTTGGGCACAGGCTCACACCCGCCTGTCGGCTACAGAGGAGTCTAGCAACGACGTAACCATCACTCCATCTGCTGGTCCCACTCTCCGTCTTTCTTAGTCCTCTTACCCACAGTAATGTCCTGAAACTGCACAGGAGTGGACCTCCCTCTCCTCCAAACTTAGCAACTACAATTCCATTACTGTTACGGAGACCCCCTCTCAGCTCAGGGACTCCACACAGGATCTTTCCAGCCCTTCCATGAACCTGCAAAATAGGTATATTGCATCTCCACCAAGAGATAAATAACTCAGGCACAGAGGGGTTAAGTCACTTGCCCAACCAAAGCCATGCAGCTGAGTCTGAATCCAATTCTGTCTGGCTCTAAGATTTTCTGCCTTACGTCCCCTTTCCAGAAGGGTCTCAGAACTCAGATTCCAATATGTCATTTCTCCATGATCCCTGCTCTTACCCCCACTCTCCACCCCACCCCAGAAGTTAATGATCTCTAAGGCAAGTTTCTGTAAAGTTCCAGCCAAAGCTTAATGTTTAAAGGAAGCCTGCCCTCCAGCCTTTTGAGATGGAAAATACCACCTTCCCTCCTGGTTAAATGTGTTACTTGTTGAGGAGAAGGAGTGCCACATCTAGACAGAGGCTTTAAAAGATGCCCATAAGCGAATCCTTGGAGTGCTATTAAATTATCGTGACACCCACGTGACAGTGGGCACCTCTCGTTCAGACATGCGCTGAGCTGCTGTGTCAGGACACATGCACTGCCATGGCCCCTGCCCTCAAGGACGTTCTGTCCAGCTGAGGGGAGGGCCCGGTGCGTGAACTTCCTGTAAAGGACTCCGCCAGGTCAGCCCAGGGCGGTCCAGGCTGCTCACAGGGTGGAGGCGGGTGTGTTGGGCTGGACCTGGGTCTTGGAGACTTAGCACAAATTTACCAAATAAGGAAGGCTTGGGAGGTGACATTTCAGGCCAAGAGATGGGCACACACATCAGCATGAAGGCGTGGAGCTCTAGCTTCAAAGGTTACTAAGGCTAAAACATAAATAGAGGCCAGCAGGTGGCACAGTGGTTGAGGCGCTGGACTCCCACGTGGTCCACCACAGTTCGAGTCCTTGCTCTCTCTCTCTGTCTGGTGAGTGTGTGTGCCCTATAGTAAATTTAAAATGATAATAAAATTAAATACATAAATTTAAAGAATTTCTAGAGAGATTTTTTTCTATAGGGTGCGTGCGCTTACCAGAGAATCAGAGACAGAGAGGCAGAAAGTGAGAAGTCGCTCCCCCAAGTGGATGCCACACCACAATCCCTTCTCTTTCTTTCTCCTCTCAGGATCTTGGACATGTATGCACACATGCCCAGTGTGAGTTTTAAGCCGCCGGGTCCAAGACTTGAAACGCAGTCGACTACGTGGGAGTCCAGTGATGTAACCATTACACCGCCTGCTAGTCCCTAACAAAATTTTTTTTAATGTAAGCAGGAAAGGGAAAGGTTGGAGGAGCTCAGAGCCGGAGTGGGGCAGGCCCGGCTGAGGCCTCTGAGTCTGGGTTTGGGTGAGGAGCTCTGACTCCACTCCATGGCCTGAGATGTGTCAGCCCCTAGAGGGGGATCGAGACCTGGCCTCAGCCCTGAGCGGGGTTCCTCTCTGGACCTGAGAACTACCATTTCTGCTTTCCTTTCCTCTCAGACTCTTCCGTTACCATCTTTTGAGAGAAGTCCGGGAAGGAATCGAATCCACGGTAAGCAGCCATCGCAGGGCCTCTTCCTCCAGCTGAGCGATGGAGGAAGCCACCGTCCCAGCAGGCCTCTTCGGCCTCCCCTGGGTGAAAACACAAGCTTCGTCCCCGCCTAATGAACTCTGAACGGAATAAAGAGCCAGGAGGGAGATGGAAATCACATTTCACCAAGGCTGTGGTTTGGACGCGGTTTGTCCCCTCTAGGCTCACAGTGGATTGTTTTTCAGTGACAGAATGCATGCATGAGAGAGCAGCACTCTCCACAGGGTCTCGCCACGCTTCACCCCTTTCCCCAGCCCTCCAGGTCCCTGGGCCCCCACGTGTGGCCCCAGCACACTTTCAGGTCAACCAGGGGATCCAAACCCATAGTTACCCGGGTGGTGTCTGGCCTTGCAGGGTGCTTGCTTACCACTGCACCACAGTGAGCCTCACGGCGGAACCCCACCAGGGTGGGATGGGGAGTGTCTGCGTCCTGCGGACACTGGCCTCTTGAACGGAGGAGTGAGGGGTTCTCACTTTCCCAGGACTGGGTTTTTACCAAGAAGGTGGGTTGTTATAAAACGGGGCTGCCCTCTATTGCTCTTGCTGCCTGTCACCCTCTCACACATGCTCCTGCCGCGGGCCGCCCTCCACCGCGGGATCACGCAGCTCGAGGCCCCTGCCAAGTGTGGCCACCTACTGGGGGACTTCTCTACCTCCAGACTTGTAAGCCAAATAAACCGCTTTTTTAAAATAAATCACCCAGTCTCGGGTATTCTGTTGTAGCCACAGAAGACGGACAATTTAGGATGAAGGGACCAAGTGAGATGGTCCTCCAAGGTCACACGGTTAGAGCAGGTGGGGCGGGAGGGACGCCTCTGCCTTCCCTCTGCCGTGCCACCCAGATAAGGGAGCGTGGCCCCTAGAGAGGCATTTCCTGGTGGCTCCTGTCTTAGTCACAGCGTGTGGCCCAAGGGGCACAAGGAGACTGCAACTGCTGAGGACGCTATTCACAGCTGGGGTCCCTCACGTCGTCCCAGCAGAAGAGCAAGAACATGCTGGGGTGGGCCACCAGGCACCAGCGTCTCCCCTGCTCAAACCGCATGGCTCCCCCGAGGGCGAGCTGACAGTGCTGTGTAGACTCCCCTGAGACATGTGGAAAGGCTGGTCCTGAGGTCTCACCTATGGAGCGTCTGATTCCTTAGGTTGGGGGAAAGGCCAAGAAATTCAAACTCTTCCACTTAATAAGGCACTTGGGTCCCTCCAGCCTTGTCTCCCAGTACCCGGACAGCCCACCCTGCATGCCAGCATACAGATCTGCTTCCAGATGGATGCACGTCTGTGCTGTCTTCAGCCTGTGACTCCCCATATACACAACCTGCTAAGGAATTATGTCCCCTCCACCCTAGACCCAAATTCAAATACTCAAACCCTAACCCCACTGTGATGGTATTAGGAGGTGGGGTCTTCAGGAGGTAATCAGGATTAGATGAAGTCAGGAGGGTGGGCCCCCATGATGGGACCAGCACCTTGACCGGACAGACACTGGACAGCTTGTTCTCTCTGCCCGCCCCTCACCACCATGTGAGGGTGTGGCGAGAAGCTGGGTCTTCAGCGAGCCCGGAGCATGGTCTCAGCAGAACCCAGCCGTGCTGGCACCCTGGTCTCAGACTCACTGCCTCCAGAGCGGTAAGAAGTGAATTTCTGTTGGTCAAGCCTCCCAGCCTGTGGTGTTTTGTCAAGGCAGCCCCAGCCGACTAAGACACATCCCTGGTCCAACCTGGCTGTCTCCTGTCACATTCAGCTCAAATGTCACCTCCTCCAGGAAGCTTCCCTCCAATACCCTATACAGCCCAGCCCCCTTGCCCCTGCCCCTCTCCCCTCTTCCTTACAGACAGTGCGGTGCGACTGATCCCTCAATAAGGAGTGAGCCTGGACATATGGAGAGAAAGGGGGTGAAGGGGGAGGAGAGGAGAGAGACGCATGCAGACGGGCTGGGTGGGGACACCAGACAGACACAGGCTCCTCCAGACATCAGCCCCTGGTGTCCCTCTGCACACGCCAACCACACAGGTGCACGCACACGCCAGCCTCAATCCTGGGCCCCAAGGACGATGCGTGGGGCTTACCTGATCGGGCCAGCTGTGCCGCTGCCCTGGGCTGGCAGGTAGAAAGCCCACGGGGATGGGACCGCCACCTTCCCTGGGGACTTTGGGGCGCACTCACCCTAGAGCAACTCTGACGCTGCCAGGCATCTGTTGCCATGGCCGAGTCTGAACTGCGACTTTTCACTTCATAATCCGAATCACAGGGAAACGACTGGAATTAGGAGCACGTGGTAACGCTGCCTCCTTCTCTGCCAGCCTCGGGAGGAGCTGCCATCACCCGGAGGGAAGGAGTAACCCCCGTCATCCCGGCCAGGTCCATGTTCTCATCTACACACGAGAGAAGGCTCAGGGAGAAGGGCCTCGGAGAATGGCTGAGCCTGATGTCCTATTTATGAACGTTTTTGATCCAGCAAAAACACAGAAAGTGTCCCACACTGTATCCCCGATCGGCTTCCTCCATTTGAGAGACTAAGAAAAAAAATCTCAGACGTGACCCTCGCACTAATAGTTCAATAAAAAGTGTGGTTATATCAATGGAAACGAAAAGGATATTTGACAAAATTCAAGACTGTCCCTGAAAATAAATGTCTTCCTTCACATGATAATGTGTCTCTCTCAAAGCCAACATCTGACAATCTGAGAGTCAATGCGCTACAGCAGAGCAAACCTTCGGGACAGTCGGGTCCTGAAAGTTAAGGACTGAACAGGAATGCTTTGCATCGCATCACCACATTCATCTAACAGTGGCCTGTAAGTTCCAAAATGCATAACATTTAAAAATGAATAGTTAATGGGGCCAGCAGGTGGCGCAGTGGTTAAGGTGCTGGACTCCCACATGGTCAACCACAGTTCTAGTCCCGGACCCAGCAGCTTGAAAAACATACCGGGCACATTTGTATATGTGCCTGGAATCCTAAGAGGAAAATGGAGGAGAAGGAATTGTGGCACAGCCACTCTCCCCAGGGGTGATTTCTCACTTTCCCTTTCTGTCTCTGTCTCTGGTGAGCACAAGTGCCCTATAGCAAAAATATCTCTTAAAAAAAAAAAGAAGTAAAATGTATTTTGAAATGCACAATGGGAATATACCCATGCAATAATTTTAAGTAAATAAAGTAGAATATGAAACAATTTACAGTTTGATTTAAAGTACATAACATGCGTGTGAATCAGTAACTTATGTATTGCATATAAAATAAAGCAGGCAGAAAAGATATCAAACATTCATCTCTTAAAACTCATCTCTTGGGAACCAGCAGTTAGCGTAATGGCTATGTCGCTGGACTCCCACATAGTCGACCGCGGTTCGTGTCCCGGACCCGGTGGCTTAAAACTCATGCCGGGCGCGTGTGCGTGCGTGCCCAATATCCCGAGAGGAGACTGGAGGAGAAGGGATTGCGGCGTGACCATCCCCCCGGGGGGTGATTTCTCGCTTTCTGTCTCTATGTATCTCTCTCTCTGTCTGGCGAGCGCACTCGCCCTACAGTGAAAATCTCTCAAAAAAAAAAAAAACAAAAAAACCTCATCTCTCTCTTTTTTTTTTAATTGCCAGAGGGCATGTGCATTTGCCAGAAACAGAGAGAGAGAATGGGAGAGGAAGAAAGCTCCCTGCACTGGGATGCCATCACGCTGCAATCCCTTCTCCTCTCCATCCTGTCAGGGTTTGAGGCACATGGGCACACGTGCCCAGGGCGTTTTTCAAGCTACCGGGGCTGGGATTTGAACTGTAATTTGAACCATGTGAGATCCAGTTCCCTTAACTATAAGAGTCCCCTCTTCCCCACCTGGGAGTTCCTTCAGGTCCCCCCCAGCCTGGGAAAACACCCTCCCCAGTGTCCATGCCCGCTCACTGTCTGCAGCTCCTCCGGGTGGGCTTACTTCTTTGCTCGTCCATGAGTCCAGAAGCTCTGTACTGTGGCTAAGGCCTGGAGCTTTGGAATCGGGCCAGCTTTGCATAAACTCCCTAGGCAAGCTCACAAGGCAAGCCTGAAAGTTGGTATAATCACCCCCATTTTGTAGATGGGTAAACTGAGGCTGAGAGAGGTTAGCTACTTTGCCCCAAGTCCCCACGTTGGTAAGTGGTGGTCTTGGGATTCAGAAGCTGGTCCCTGGCGTCGGAAGGGTGTTAGTGTCCAAGGGGCATGCTGGCCAGGCGGTCTTATTCTCTGGCTGTGTATTTCTATCCTATGTCCCCTTCCTTGATGACACCTGAAATGAGCCCACTGTCATTTCCCTCCTCCCTCACCTTCAAGAACAAAGGGAGCCCTGGCCGGAGCAAGGCATGCCCTCATCCTTTTCTAGAAGACACTAGTCTCCCAGAGGTCACAGAGGGGTCACAGAGTGTCTGGGGAAGGAATAGGGTCAAGTAGGAGGGGGGAGTGGTTAGAACAGTAGGAAGGCATCTTGCTGTTCAGGACTCTCTCGAAGGAGGTGTTCTGCTCGGGCTGTGCTCTGGGGTCTGAGCTTTGGGGGTCCATCCATACACAGCTCCCTCACATATCAACAAAGACAGGAGTTAAACGGCTGCCATCTGCCTCTGTGCTCCCGTGGGGGCCAGCAGATGCCAGGGTGCACGTCAGAGCAGCTCTCCACATTCCCCAGTCCCTGCCAACAGCCTCCCAAGTCGGATTTCACAGAGGAGGAAGCCAAGACCCAGGGGAGTCTGGGAGTTCGCCCACAGTGACGAGGCTGGTGAGGATCCTTGTCTGGCCACACTCAGGGC